GGTCTCAAGAAGGTAGCAAATACAAGAATGTGTGTGTGTGTGTGTGTGTGTGTGTGTGTGTGTGTGTGTGTGCAGAATAAAAAAAAATAAAACCAGCATCTAAATCGCCTGCAAACAGAATCCACCTGAACGACCTGCTCCTCCTGCCTCCAGCAGCACAGAGACGTGACGCCCTGAGCCTCCGGGGCTCGGATGCTGCCTCCATTATCGCGTGTGACACACACACACACACACACATGACCTCACACACACACGCACACACTCGCTGACAGTCTCCATGACAACTGGTCTGCAGCACTGGTCTGAGCTCTCCTTTTGTCTTGGAAAGGCTGGAGAGATAAGGGAGGAGGGCTAACCGGCGGCAGACAGGAACATCAATAAAACATGAGAGGAGAACTCTTCACCTCCCAAAACCACACAGAGCAACACGTGGGAGACGGCGCCGGAGGCCGGAGCTGCGAGGCGCCGTAATTGGACCAAATCCTTCAACAGCAGCCCCTGCTGTCTAATAAAAAATAAATAAAAAACCCCAGAGACGCAACGGCATCATTTTACTGAGCTCCAACCAGTAACAGGTGGTTCATGCCCCCCCACCACTACACATTTCAGTCACTGCTGCAGCAGCGGCTTCGTCTCGACACGCCCACCCACGCCGATCGGACCGCTCGACCTCCGTCAGCTGCCACGCTCAGGCAGCACAAAGACAAATGAAGGTTGTTCCAGCTGATCTGAAAGCTGAGGTTTTCAGGAAGCGGGGGGACTCACTCTGGAATTTGCGGAGGTTGATCAAACCGTGGTCCCGGATGATCCTGGAAGAGATGAACAGATGAGGTTATGTTCTGAATGATGAAGCTCCTGCAGCTTTAAATAAAAACAGACATGTGTTTATCATTACTACCCACTGCTAAAGGTGCAGCAATGATGTTCAACTTCTGGGGTCAACCCAATTCAAGATGGCCGCCACAGCTAGTGGATCTTAGCTTACACTAACATGGCTACACCTCAGTGAAATGCACAGAGCTAAAATCTGGTGTGGTAGTAGCTGAGAGTCATTAAAAGTAACAGAAAACAATAAATCTATAAATACAGACAGTTTAACTCAACATGAGAGGATCTTCTTTTAAAGTGCCTCCGACATGCATGTGCTTCAAATACAAAAAGTCAAAGAAAACATCTTTCTAGTAAAGCTACTTGGCTAATACACAAAACTTTACCCATTTTGTCACATTACTGCATATTTTTTTTGACTTGGCTCAGTAAAAGTGAAACAGGAAGTGACATCAAAGGGGAACTCTTTAAGAAAAGAAACTTTCTGGTCTTTGTTTATTGAAACAATATTATTTGAGCTCTGACTCTTCTTCATCTCTCTGATAGTGACCTGAAATTATTTAAAGGGATCCCTGATTAGTTGTAACATTAGACTTTATTTGACAAACATATTTTAACTGTCAAATAAAGACTGTAAAAATACTGTAGGCTGTTTTTTAAATTTAAAATAATATATTTTAACATGGAGAGAGCCATTTTATTTACACACAAAGCATTCTGGGTAAATGATGACGTGGATAGGTCCTCGGTGTGAGCGAGCTATATCCACCCTGAAGGTTAATCTTGGACAATATCTGATGATCGACTCTTTTAAATGAAACCAGAGAGCGTTGACAGAGAGGAGAAGGTAGAAATGACTCAGCCTGTAACTGAAAATATGGATGGAGGACAACAGAGCTGCTTCATGGAAGAAGAACCTCAGCTTAGCCTGTTAGCTTTAGCACAGACGCTAGATTGTCTTATATGTATTAGCTCAGCGCTAGTGCGACAAACAAGCTAAACTGAGGTCCTCCATCCATATTTTCAGTTGCAGGCTGAGTCATTTTTGCGTTCCCCTCTCTGTCATGTGGATGGATGACCTCAGTGACGAGAGGAGAATGTGTAGCGCTGAGCTAATACATATATATGGTGATTGCGTTGAGGCTAAAGCTAACAGGCTAAGCTGGGGTTCTTCTTCCATGAAGCAGCTCTGTTCTCCTCTATCTATATTTTCAGTTGCAGGCAGAGTCATAGTTATGGTTTTATTAACGCAGATAATCGAGTCGATGCTGACTGATAGCTCCACGACACTTTTATCAGGTGGTTGAGACGGAGAATTATCAGCTAACATCACGGCACACTCCTGGATCACGGTTTGTCGTTTCTGTAAGAGACTGAACTCGGTGTTCTTCGGGAAGTGAAAAGACCTGCAGAAGGTTGTAAATCTGTCGAGCGTCTCTGACGAGTTAGCAGAGATAAAATAGGAGCATGGCTGGAAAACGTCTGCCCGGCCAGATACGTCGTTCCACTGAGCTCAGGGAGCGAAAACTCAATAAAGTTGATTTACTGATGGATGCTCTGCAGCCGGAGTCATCTGTACAGACTGAAAAGTGACAGCAAACAGGATGACGCTGGAACAACACTTCTTTTTTATACCCAGGTACAGATTTTACTTGTCTTTTTCAATCATCTTTTTCTCAGAGTTGAACAAGGACAGACAGAGGATTGATTTATGACAGCAATAAAAGAATAAAACATCCAAGGGGGTGAATACTTTTTATAGAAACTGTATGTGAATGTTTAATAAGTTTGCAGGGATGATAAGAAACATGAAATATAACAGCTAAGAAGGCTGTGAAATGTAAAATAAAGACAACTAGAGAATTAGCATTTCCTGCAAAGATATAATCTTGATGTCTTATACTGAAAATATTTTGCTGAAGAAGCTAAAGTTGAGCTGAAAAGATCAAAGCAAAACTGTTAATGAGAGTTAAATTTGAACGGCTAATTTTTGCTGAAAGTAGGAAAACAAAAGTGAAAAATCAGGATAAAAATAGCAAAAGTGTGTCAAAAAAGCTGAAAAAAAAGCAAAAATGTAGATACAATTTGCAAAAAGGGGAGCTCGAAAAGCAGAAAAAAGCTAAAAGAAGCTAAAACAGAAGATGAAATCTGCACAAAATTAAATATCAGAACCAAAATAAATAGTGGGAGGCACAGTTCTGGTAAAAACCAGACCCTTGTCTTTCACTTTGCTTCATACGAGGGGAAAAATTGAAACTAGCATTGAGCTGAACTGCGTATGAAGGCAAGGCTCAGGCTACAGAAGTAGTTTCTCATTTAGCAGATTAGCTTTTCTGCTAACTCTAGAACGCGTCAGTAAGCCGATTAGCTTCTGCTAAATTATGTTCTAATAAATTCTAATTTTAAGTCCACTAAAAAAAATTCACAAGTATTAAACTTGTATTATTATGCAACTTATCCCAAAAATAAAAACTGTCCCCTCTTACAAGCAGTGCTGGACCTATCAAACACTATGTGTAGCATGTAGCATCGTTAGCAGCTAAACTTCGCTAAACTACGAGCGTCAAAAAGAAATAAAATATTATTTAACAATATTTAAAAAGTAAATACAAAAACTGACTACATATAAAATATGGTAGAGAAAGTATTTGTTGTTTGACAAACTTCAAACACTTCATAAAAATACAAACTTGATCAAAACCATTCTTTTATTTTGAAAGGGATAAAATGGAAGTATGGAAGGTTTGGATTGGCTGATTTGCCAAAAATGATCCCACCCACCTTCCAATTAAACCAATAAAAAAACTAGCAGGTTTGCATCACTCCAACCAGTCTTCAGCTGGAAGCAGGTCAAGACTGACTGTTGTTCTATTTCGTGTAAGCTCCGCCCTCTAAGGCTATCGCTGATGGGCCTTAGAGGGCGGAGCTTACACTCATAGAATCTGGGGTTACAATACGTAACCAACGTTCTAGCAGTTAGCATTGGCTTCCACTAATTTTTTTTTACCTGTTTAGCGTTAGCGGAGCTCAGTTTCTTGATTAGCGAATTAGCGATAACTGAAGCTAACCTTTTGGTTAGCTGCACCCACCACTGACAAAAAGGTAAAAATTGGATTTTAAAAGGCTTTATGTTGAAGACAGCTCTGATTAAAAAAGCTACATTTCTGACAAAGTATAAATAGCTGAAATACCAAAAGTCATAGCACCCATGGCGTAAATGAGCCAAAAAAACATGAAGAAAAATGGATAATCTCAATAGTGTGAATGTTTTACAGCATTTTGTTTGAGATTTAAAACATTTACCAGCAGCAGGCAGTCTTTACCAACATAAAACTGGGCAAAATGTCAAAGTTTGGCTCACACACTATTTACAAAAGATAAACATATTTCTAATAACAATCTTCTGTTATCAGAGCCGATAAGTTCAACCCTAATAACTCCATCTGTTTGTATTGTAGCTACTGATGAAAGCTTGATTAAAAAATACTTAATGTTTAATTTAATAATCAGCTACTGGCTCTGTGACGGCATAAGTCTATCGGGGATTGTCTTAAAGGAAGGTTTAATACAATAACAAACAAAGTTTTGCATAAATAATTCATTAACAGTGAAAATGAGCACAGAGGGATTTGAAATTGTTTTCCTTGTAAACTTAATTCAGTGTAAAATGCATAAATTATCTGTGGGAATTGAGTCTCCCTGAGGTCAAAACAGAAGCTTATGATGCCATCTGCTGAAAACCAGGGAATACTGCACGTTGCTGAGCACATCTTTTCAATACTACAGTAAATTAATAAGCACCTACTTTTTCCTTCTTTGCCTCTCTCTTAATCTTGAGTGGTAAATATCTACGACTGCAAGCTTGAGTGCTGTAAAAGACAACAGAAACAAACATTTAAAGTCAGTTTTGAGTTCGGACTTTTAACCTGAACTTAAATCACCTGATGATCGATAAACAGAAAGAGAATGAGTAAAAATGACACTTACCCCGCAGTATATCCGAGTCATCGTCCACAAAATCGATGTCTTTTAAATCCCATTCTGCGTAGTTATCAAACTCCTAACAGAGAGATGGAAATGTTTTTTTTTTAAATTTTCTGGATACTCGACAAGTTTATCACAGAGAGGCAATAACAGGTATGAGTCACTGATTCAATAAGACCTCTGGAGTCATTCAAACGATTCACTCACAAAGAAAAGTGATGTTAGTGCGCACACACACAAGTTTGTATTTCTGTACTTATTAGGACTGTATTGATCTCTGTGGCCTAAACGTGACCCGGACCCTAACCCAAATATGGTGTTCCATCATTAGGACCGGTCTTTGGTCTCCAAACGAAACGACTGGTCCTGACTTAGGTGTGTGTTTACACCAGAAACGATCTTAAAGAGTAACTTACCCCCAAATTAACTTTTTTTAGCTGATAAACTGTCTAGAATGTGTCTAAAATGTTATATAGTACTGTTTCTGTGCATCTCAGTAATCCAGGTAAAAAAATCAAAAGGAAAAAAAATGGTATACGGACGTACAGAGCAATCTCACGGATTTTTTCAAGTCTTACGGATATTTTAAAAACCTCATTTTCAAATTTATCTAACATGTCAGAGCCTATAGGATGATTTAAAAAACAATAAATAACATCAAACAGCCATCTTCCAACCTGTTCTGCCGCTATAAGTTACTTCCCCCCTCTCCTTTCCTCCTGCTTCGCAGCAGGAGCTTTCATGCCCCCCCACCCACAGGTGCGGTGCAAGTTGTAAGGATTTTCTGCAAAACTTAAGGATTTTTAGGGCTCTTTATACAGGTAAACTACTTTTATTCCTGATTTAAACTAGCAATCATGTGAGCAGCTGTGTGCTTTTATTTTTTTCTGTCAGGCTGTCGCGGAGCGTTCCTCCTGCTCTGTCCGGTGCTGGTGTGGGGTGAAAATCCTCCACCTCAGACGTTCAGAGATGGAACTGTCTGTGATACTGTGGTCACTTTCCATGTAGCGTCAATTATGCTAATGCTAGCTGTCACGTTCTCTCATCCTGGCCACACCTCCGCTCTCTAACCCCCCTTCCCCACCCACACCCCCTCCCCTACCCACTTTGATGCATTTTTCAAATTTCGCCTTGGGGCGGAGTTATCTTTTCACAGGGGGGTAAGTTACACTTTAAAAAGTAAAAGAAAAAAAAACAGATACATACACACACACAGTCTCACCTCCATGAAGTCTGCTCTGGCTGGCATGTATCCAGCCATGTCTCGAGACAAAACAGAGTCGAATGTGGGCCGAGGGGGATCATCAGAGGCTGAGGGATGGAAAAAAAATACACACAATGAAAACGTAAAACCTGTTCTTTAAGGAGTTTACATTCAAAGACACAGTTTGGATGAAAACAAGAGTAAATTTTATTCACTGCACAGATGAAGACCTGAGTTCTGCTGAGAGGTTGGATCTGCCGTGTTTATTTTAATTTATGGTTCTCAAATGACTGATGCATGATGAAGAACAAAGTGATTTTCTAGATTTATTTTCTTACAAAAGCAAACTAAAAACCAGTGTCTCTGTTTCCAATGAGTATTTAAATACATATGTACATGTTTAATGTAACTCCAGTATACCACCCCCCCCCATCTTCTGAGCTTAAAACACTTTTTTAAAATCCAATCCTAGCATGTACAACTTTACTCTTAATTTCATACAGTCTCCAGGATTTTTAAGCCTTTGCGGTGTACCCTCTGGTGGAGAAAGATTGTTTTGGTGACACGCACTTAACTTGTGGTTTGTTAACGCGGAGGAGCACGAGCTTCTGTGTGTCCCTTAAAATACTGCGGTCCAACAGCAGGAGCCGGTTGTTAAATTAGCAAAATGGACAGCTTCAAGGAGCAGCGCCATCTTTGTGATAAACAAGAAATGAAAAAAAAAAAATCGTTTTTTCTCCCCTGGTGTGAAAAAACAACAACTACTGTTTATACGATTAGCTCTGCACAACATATTCTACAACAGCAGGAAGAAATTATGATGGTTTATCCCCAAAGACTCAATATTTCAGTTATAAATGAGAAAATTTATTGTGAAAGTACAATTGCAAAGAATTGATCAAAGTTTACTCCCGTGTATAATATGACCCGCCAACATTCTAGCATTATTTTTTTGTATTATACACATCAATACTGTAAAGTTAACAAAAAGGATGGTATTAAATAGTTAAAAAGAAATAGTGTGTGTGTGTTTGGTGTTATATATGTGGGGCTTTAATCTGTAAGTAAAGTTGGTAAAGACTTAAAATACTAAATAAATATACTCCATTTTACAGTTGAGATCTTTTCTACAGGAAGGAATGAGATAAACTTAAATCATAAAGAAAGAGTCGTAGGTTTGAGGGAAAGATGTAAAACTGAGTATTTCACACTTTAATGGAGACATCATGAGTGCAGCAGATGGAAGCCTTAAAATAGCAATGGAGAAAAACCCTTCATGTCCTACAACCAGCTTATATGAAGAGTTTACATTTGTGATTGAAGAGGCAGCTGTTGTAAGAGGTGTTATTATATAAATATATATAT